TTCATCTTTTTTTCTTGGGTCAAATTTCATCACTTAACAGATATTTGATAAAGAAATGTACTAATCTTTGTTGTCATTGTTGTTGTTGAGGCAATTGAGGTTAAGTGACTTGCCTAGAGTCACACAGCTAGTGAGTGATATGTGTCTGAGGCCAGATTTGAACTCGGGTCCTCCTGACTTCAGGGCCAGTGCTCTATCCACTGCATCAGGTAGCTACCTCCATTTTGGGGTAGTACAGAAAACTACCTCTGTTGCTGTATTGTCTTCATTTTTTTTTTTTTTTGCTAGGCAATGGGGTTAAGTGACTTGTCCAGGGTCACACAGCTAATAAGTATCAAGTGTCTGAGGCCGCATTTGAACTCAGGTCTTCCTGAATCCAGGGCCGGTACTCTATCCACTGCGCCACCTAGCTGCCCCCAAATATAGTCACTCAGTTCTTTTTTTTTTTTTTAAGGCAATTGGGGTTAAGTGACTTGCCCAGGGTCACACTGCTAGTGAGTATCAAGTGTTTGGTCGGAGGCTGGATTTGAACTCAGGTCCTCCTGACTTCAGGGCTGGTGCTCTATCCACTACATTCCCTAGCTGCCCCTAGAAATGCACTAATCTTAAATGACATCATTATGCTACCTATCCCATGTATATACACATTCATAGACGCAGCCAGAAGGTTAGCTCTAAAAGAAATGTTATGCCAGTTTCAAAGTTCAGGATTCTTCCTGATTGCCCCTCCAAAATCCTGACTTTTCTCCAAGTCTACATCCTCCACACTGCACTGTGTTCTAGATATCTCATTCTCTCACTTTACTCTTCCCCTCAAAACCTGATCTCAGATAGCTCTCAAGTTTAGGTGACACTAAGAAACCAATTCATACTAAAATGTGACTGACTAATGGAAGCTTAATTGTATTTTAAAGGATGACAATGCCTTCACCTACAAAAATGAGTCTCTGATGGAATTTCAAGGGTAGCATCCCCTAGTGCTCGGAGCACAGCGTCTGGTGTACCCTAGGTCCTCCATAAATATTTCTAGCTGATAACAATTGGGGTTTCCATTGCATGCCAAATCATGTAATGAGTGAAGGAGATGAGGTAAACCAGTCTTGAACATATACATGTGTTTCATTTTGTCCCATCCATAATGCAGTTATTCATGTACATCCCTTTATTTTCCCCCTCTTGGAGAAAGGTCTGTCATATCCATCTTTATATTCTCAGTGATTACCATAATGCATGTAGAAGGTGCTTTTAAAAGAATTGCTGTATTGAATTCAACACAGTTCATAATCTTGTTGATTATAGTTTAATTCTGTGGCCAAAAGATGATCCTGATCACCTGATCTCACACACAAATATGAGTGTTTCTAAAAATGGCATCTTTTGTTCAAGTAGACAAGAAGCATGATTATTTTTAAAATTAAAAAAAAAACTTTTTATTTTTAGAATTGACCAGATGGCTATGGTTATCAAGTGGAACTCATGTCAAGAGGTTCCTTTTAATAAAACTGCAAGAATCCAGTAGCACAAATGTTTTAGCTTCGGGTTGTAATCTGCCCTTTCTTCAAGTGGGGGGAGGGGAGGTGGGAAAGGCAAGGAATAACTTGACCCCTTATTTGATTATATAAGAGAGAAGAAGCATAGCTCTCAGCATGAGCAGATGTCAGTACTATGCCTCAGTGCATGGCTTGTGTTTGCTTCCCTTGGCCTGAGCTGAAAAGTTCTCCACTGTCTTGCTCCTAGTCACTAAATGGTTTGTTTTCATCCTGACCTGCATCTATGATTTTGTGGAGGAAAGCTTCTCATTCTCCCCATGCTGAATGAACTCTGGTTGAACCTCACAGATGTTCAAGCTTTTCATTTTCTCCTCCAGCAAGGCGTCATGGAGATTTTTGTGAGCAGAGTAAGTAATTACTCTGTTTGGTCTATTTATTTAGGTTTCTTAGATGTTGAGGGTAGATCTATATGAGCAATCCAAACAACAGCTTTTTAGTAGCAGACTTATTAGACTGGAATTTCAGTTTAAAATGCTTCTCCCATATCTGAATCTGAACATTTTTTCCTTGCTCCCCTATCCCATTTGTTTGTTTTTCTCTCTTAAACTCTTTTTTATCTATTGCTCAAATATGTTGATACTGGGATTTGACTTTCCCTGCCTTTGACTCTATTAGTTTGGAGTTTAGGTATGGCTTTAAATGGCTTCTTTTCAAGAGTTTTCTGTGATCAATGGATTGCAGATTTGAAGATCAGGGTTTCCCATTTATGTCAATAAATATTCATCACTGAGGAATACAAAGACAAAACAGTCTAGGTCCTCAAGGAACTTGAATCCTAATTGGGGAGGGGGAGGAGGATTCAATGTGAAAATGTCATTGTGTGTCTGACCTTTAGTGACCCCATCAGGAGCTTTCTTGGCAAAGATACTGGAGTAGGTTGTCACTTCCCTCTCCAACTCATTTTACTGATAAGGAACTGAGGCCAACAGGATTCTAGCTCAGGGTCACACAGCTAGTGTCTGAGGCCAGATATGAGCTCAAGAAGATGTCTCCCTGACTCCAGGCCTGGCACTCTTTCCATTGTGCCAACTAGCTGCCCCCAATGTATAGATAAAAAAGCATATGTAAAATAATGCAACATGAAAATTCAGAATACAAACATAAATACAAAGAAGAGAATGTTAACAGCTGCAGGGTAGTGGGAGAAGAGATCACTTGAAAGGCCAGTTGTAACAAGTGACCTATGAGCTATGTTTTCAAGAAAGCTAGGCATTCCAAGAAACTCAAAGAAGGAGAGAGGTCCTTCCAGACACAGGAGATCACTTGAGCAAAGGTCTGGAGGTAAGATACTAAATGTCATAGACAAAAAATAACTAGCAAATAAGTTTAAGTCAAGAACCTATTACTGGGAATAACAGAAGGTATATGGTATGTATAGATATCCTATTACAGGAAAAGACAGGTATAAAAATGACTGGGAATTCTAGTAAAAACTTTCTATAAGAACCTATCAGACTACAAACTAAAGACCTTACTAAGTGTAGGATCTGTAAGGAGTCCATAAGCCTGACAGTATGTGTGTGTGTGCAATCAAAGAGTTATATGTGTATAATCATCAATAGTTAACAATTTTTTGAATTCCTAATGTGCCTAGGCAAATTACTATGCTAGGAATTGGGGATACACAAAGATATTAATAGATATTCCCTTAAACCTTTAACATTATGCTACTTTAAATCTTGTTATAATGTATTACTAAATTGTAATTAGTTGGCATTAACTCTGGCTATATCGCCCAATGTGGTATTTTAGAACCATATATCCATCCACCCCTGTGAAGGAAGTTACTGAAACAGGCAGCAGAATAGTCCAAAAATGCTACTGACAAATCTGTAGGACAAGGAACACAAGATGATGCACTAGTCAGTCAAATGTGATTTAATAGTTGTGTAGGAATCAGTCTTTTAAGTGGATGGGGGGAAAAGAAGAATCTATTGAAAAATGGTCATTTGTTTTGTACAGGTTGCCAAGTAAATGACTTGTCCAAGGTCATTCAGTAGGCAGTAATGGAACTAATAATGATATTTAGATTTCTTGTCTTTTATGTCAATATCACATAGTTATTTTAAATAGTATCTCATCTCTAACATTTGCTATAAGTCCTTGGGCAAATTAACTAACCTCTCAGTGCCTCAGTTTCTGCATCTGTAAAGTGGGGATAATAAAACTTGCATTAACGATTTCACAGGATTATTTTTTGATGAAAGTGTTTTCTCTAAAGAATAATAACAGATGTGATCTATTATTATAAATATATTTCTAAATTTAGTTTTATTAATACCTTCTCAATCTTTCAACAAGTACATATGGTACTAAGGGAAGAAAAACCCTTTCATTTCCTGAAATAGGCCAAAAGCCAGAGCTCACAGTGGTGGAATGAGATATATTGCCTGTAGTTTAAAACTGTTTCTCCATAGGACAAGTTGACGTGAACTTTTGATTTCCACTAGGGAAGAAGCAGCAAGTATCTGTTGTCATGAGAAAGCCCAACTCATAACCAAAAACTGGAAAAAAAAATATGACACACAGGTAGAGCTGTATCTAAATAGAACATAGTTCAAAGTTTTCTATGGGATGTCAGCTATACTTTGAAGAATGATTTTTCACATGTCTTTTAAAGGTTTATCCTCCTAGATGAAAAGGCAGTCTGCTTTTAAGAGGCCTTTCTCTCTCTCCAGTTCTCAGTGACTCAGCGCTATTTTTACATTATTTTTCTAGTATTCAGGCCCACAGTCCTTCCCTCTCTTCCCCACCCTCAACCTGTACATTATCATTACTTCTCAGTTCAAAACTGGCCTCCAGTGACCTCAAATTCTCACAACTTCATTTCAGTAGTGAGCTGTGCTCAATACCTATCTTTGGTTGCTTTGATTTATGCAGGGGGCTCTTTCCACTCTTGTTGGACCCCGTCAGCTGTCTGCTGAAGCCTACGCACCTTTTCACAGAATAATAGGTTTGAACGCATAAAATAAACTGCATATACTTACACCACGCAAATAAAATACATAGGATTGGTGTGAAGTTTAGTGAAAATGAAAGTGTATTTTTTTCCCATCCAGGTTCAAAGATCTCCTTAAAATTTATCCACCGACATCTTGCGGAGGCATGGGTGAGTAGGGTAAGAGGTATGGACCTCAGATAAATACAGACCTCTGGCCTAGAGGCAGTTAATCTTTTTTATAGGATTAGCCCCCGGCAATATAATAGGCTCCAATTTACTGCTAAATAGTGTAATAGGAACACTAATTAGACTTACACTTCTCAATGCATACAAATCAAACTTTATTAAACGAAGCATACAAACAAAAATAAAAGAAAAAAGCAACAAAAACACCAGACGTCCGGCACGCAGACATCTCAGCGCTTCCGGTAGACTTGCAAACAATGCCCTCCAAACACTCCCCCCGCCCCTCTCTGGCCCCGATGTGTTCTAGGCGGTTTCGCTCTTACCCGCCTGGCCGAGGTTGTCCCCTCTGCGCATCCCGCAGGCAGCCCCTGATGTCTCCCTCCGTGGAGGTCTTCCGGTCTGTCGGAGAATCTTCCTCAGCCAATCAGCGCCGCCCTGGAGCCGCGGGCTCCGTTTGAGTCTCCCGTGCGGGGAAGCGTGGGGGCGGGGAAGCGTGGGGGCGGGGAAGCGCAAGAGCCAGCCCTCCTTAAGAAGACGCTTGTACCTAGCATCTCAGGTCTGTTTCCACCCTTTGAGCCAAAGTTATTTGCCATCCAATTCGATCGTCAGTTTACTTTAAAATTACTGATAAAGTTATTTATCCTGTTTTATCCTCTGTGATCTGTCTTATCAGAGCATTCCCACAGGTTTATCAGTTTTTGGTTTTGTTTTTTAAGAATTCACACAAATTGCTTCTTATTGTCGGAACACACAGGTGCTTAATTTTCTGTTGAAAAATAACGTCTACTCAAGACAGTGCAATCAGAAAATGGAGGTTTGAAACATGGAATCGGTTAGCCTAAGTGGACAAACTTTTATTAAGGTAATAAAACCTATTCTTGCTGTAGTATCAGTTATACTAAATTGACAGACTATTAGGATAATAGAATTGATATAGTTTGATATTGATTCAATATCAAATTGTTATTAAGGTAATAGAACTTATCCTTCCAACATTATCACATATACTACATCAACAAATTTATTCTTACTATCTTATTGAGATGTTGTTCAGTTGCAAGCACGTTTGAGGTTTTCTTGGCAAAGGCACTGGAGTGGTTTGCCATTTCCTTCTCCAGCTTATTTTACAGGTGAGGAACTAAGGCAAACAGGGTTAAGTGACTTGCCCAGGGTCACACAGCTAATAAGTGTCTGAATTAGGATTTGAATTTAGGTCTTGACTCCAGGTCCAGCACTTTATCCACTGCACTACCTAGTTGCCTGTCTTATTGAAATACTAAAATTTATTGCAACCCAGTCTACACATTTTTTTTTTACAGCATGTAGTATTTCTTTTGAAAATGTGGCACTTTATTTCAGCTCAAGGAAAAGGAGAAAGTGCATGCATTTAAAATTCACTACACTATTTCAAAAAATCTGTGATTTCACTGATGTGTGTTTCCTCCATCAATACAGACAACTTATTGTTTTAGAAGAAAGCTGTGTGAGTTGCTCTGCCTAAAGAAATTTGTCACTTGAGAATCCACCTTCTACTGGTGGGCCTCTTCACATTAAACTAAGATAAATGGTCTTCACATAGCGGGCTTTCCTTCAGTCACCAGGAGCATTCTCAAAGTCTTTACCATTGGGACTGATCAGAACTTGTGCTCTGATGACATAACTTTTGAGAAACTAGGCTAGCTGTAATTCAAAATGCTAAGGAATACATTAAATCCTTTTCAGTGATTGTCAGGGTAACAGGATCTTTAGAGCAGGGGTAAGACTTGGGTAAAGGAAGGAAAGTGAAGTCCTTGAACTTCAAAAAAATTTACTTTCTTTTCTTCTTTTTCCTTCTTTCCTAACCATAAGAAATTAGCCTTACCAGTGGACATTTATTGGGCAAACACAAAAAATGTGGTAATATGTTGGGCCTGTAGGAGAGGGATAATAAAATACAGATATTCCTCTTTCACTGGTTCTTGATAGCAGGCGGATGATGAGAAATGGAAAGGCAAACAGAAAAGATTTGAATGTTTTTCCCAGCCTAAAAATATTGAAAGGGAAGTGCTAATTCTGGGGATGGAGTGGGCACACAGCCAACATCCTGAGCTTGGTAGAAGAGAATGAAATACACTTGTCTCTGCTAAGAATGAGGGCTGGGGATGTTAGACTGTGTGAATAAGAGGGAAAGGAGGATATTCGTTGCACCTAGTCTTATTGGATTAACTAATCAAAAGAGCTGGAAATATACTAACGAATCCAGAGATATGCTGACCTTAGCTATCTCATCATAAAAGTTATTACACTTCCTTAAGAAGGTAAACAGTAGGAAAAAGATGGAATCTTTAGAGACAGAGAGTCAGGTAGTAGAGAAAGTATTGGCATTTCTGTTGCTGTCCTTCATACTCAAAGAGGACCAAAATGATATCATAATGTCAGGGTCAATGTATGGTGTGTGTGTGACTGCGGCCAGTCAGTCCAATACAAGGTCAGAAGGCTCTGCCACAAGTCAGGCACAAATAGTTTATTCGTAGATTTGCAAAGTAGGCAATACCACCCCTTGGGGGGCACTGGAACAATGGGGGGCACAGGAGTAGCCTCGGGTGCAGTTGGGGAAATAAAAATAAGAGGCATTAGGAAAGCATAAGGAAAGAAGAGAAGAGAAGAAAAATTTGAAAAACCGTACGTTTCATCTGTTGTGTAACAGAGTTAAAGTCATAGTGATTCCATTATTTTCCAAATAAGCACATAAAATGAAAATTATAACTGGTTAGTGCTCAAGGCCACAGACAGGTCTTAACAAGCAGGCATTGGCAGGTGAACATTTAGCACATAGTAGGGAAGTCCAGCGTGCATTAGCAGGAATATGTATATGCAATGACTTATTTACAATATGATACTATACAGTTACATGATGTAATATTGTGTTATCAAAATTTCAATGCAGGGAAAAAGAGCCACAAATTTACAATGAATTATTAAATTTAAAATGTATCATTTAAAAAATATTTTACTTTCTTTAAATGATGCAAATTTCCAAAAAAACTGTTAAAGGGTTAAAGAAAGTAGATTTCTAGGGGAACTCTGAGTTATTTTATTTATTTATTTATTTATTAGGCAATTCTTGCCCAGGGTCACACAAGTGTCAAGTGTTTGGTCTGAGGTCATATTTGAAATCAGGTCCTCCTGTCTTCAGGGCTGGTGCTCTATCCACTGTGCCACCTAGCTGCCCCGTGAGTAAATTTTTTTTTTTAAAGGGGGCGGTAGGCCAAATAAGTTTGGGAACCTCTGGCTATATGAACATGTGAGATGGAGATGTCTCTATATTTGTACATCTCACAGGTCTTTTGAGCTATTTCAATTCTGCTTTGCTCATAGAACATAGAACCTTCTTTTATTTGGGCATGCCATGCTGGACATTCCTGTGCTAGTGTCTTCCATATCTCACAGCTAATACCCAAGTTCTTCAAGGAGACCGTGAGAGTGTCCTTTTATTGCTTCTTCTGACCTCATGTGAGGGCTTGCCTTGTGTTAAGCTCTCTGTAAAGTAGTCTTTTAAGCAAACGTAGGTTTGGCATTTGAACAATGTGTCCAGCCTATCTGAGTTGTGCTCTGTACAGTAAAGCTTGAATGCTTTACAATTCAATTCAGGAAAGGACCTTATTGTCTGATGCCTTATCTTGCTAGGTGATGGCATCTCACTAATAATGAGAGACTGGGAAAATAGGGCAGAGAGAAAGTGATACTGTTCAGGCCTCAAGACAGTGACACTGCTGAAGAAGGAAGAAAGATAAGTATGATAAGGAACCACAAGGACCAGAAACAATGAGGTCCAAAGTCACAGTATGAGGAATTAAACCTGGAATTTACTGTTCTCTGATATTATGAGTTATGTAAACTGTGTAGATCTGGGGGAATGACTTCAACATTCTAAGGACTCTGAGTTCTTTTCCTACTTTGTATGTGTAGGGGGGGAGATGGGAATGGGGGATTAGTCCTCAATCCCAGCTTCAATTTTAAAATCTGGAATTACCCATATAAGGTCCCTGAATGAAGTGGAATTTAATTGACTCCTATTTAAGCTCAGTAAAAGCTTTGCTATTTGTTTTTTGTGTTTGTTTAATAAAAGTTACTTGAAAAGAAACTAAATATGAGGGCTGTAGAAAAAAGGCCAAATTCAAATGACCTCAGAGCTTGATCTGAATATTAATTATTATTGAGAAGTCTTTAAAACTGAACCCAGTACATTTTACTTCTGAACTGCTTGAATGAATGCACACATACATATATATGTACATACATACATACATACATACATACATACACCCTGAATAACTGAATGTATATAATCTGCTAGTCTATATCCAGAGATATGTATAAGGAAAGATTAAAGAACAAATTCTATAGATGGGGGAAAATTAGGAAATCTGTGAATAATCTCATTGTTTACACTTTACTTTCAAAGCTAAATATTTGCCTAAATGATAGTTTGACTTAAATCAGAGGTTCTAAACTTTGATGTTGTTGTTGTTGTTATTCTTGCTCGGGGACTGCTCCTCTCTCCCAAGACTGATGAAACCTGTAGATCCTGTTGGAGAATAATGCTTTTGTTTAAATTAGTTATTGAAGGAAATGATAAATTTCAGCTAGAGCTTAGTAAAAATATAGATTTAATTTTTTCCCCATCCTAGTTTACAGATCCCCTGAAATTTTTCTCCCAATCTCATCTTCCTTTCTATGTTTACAAATGAGGTCTCTTAGGCCCAGAAAGGTTGTAGCTTCCCAGTTTTGCACAACTTTATAATCACACAAACAAGACTAGAATACAAAATCCTTGAGGGCAGGGATTATATGTTATTTCCCTGGACAAGTCACTTAACCTCTGTTTGTCTCAATTTTGTCCTCATTAAAAGTGGAACAATAATAGCATTCACATCTTAGGGTTGTTATGAGGATCAAATGAAATATTATTTGTAAAGTGTAAATTTTTAAGCACTATATAATGCTAGTTAGTACTACTACTGTTACTACTACTACTGTTACTACAACTGCTACTGCTGCTGGTACTACAACTACTACTACTACTACTACTATGAGGGACCTCTTGATCACTGTATGTATGTGTATGGGGTGTTCAAGGAGTACTAGTACTTTTGCTGTGAAGGCTTGCCAAGCCCTTTTCAGGGTTGCTCATCCACATTTGCTGTGCACTTGGCACTCAGCTTCACCTGTGACTCCAAGAAGCTATAGCATGCATAGCAGCCACATCCTAGTAAACCATATCAATAGATGGGCTAAACCAGGTTGAGGATAACGAATGAGCCTCAAATCCATTGGTTAGTTGGAGGGGGAAGAGGGGAGGGGGGAGCTACCCCAAGGACGTGAAGATTTCCCAATGGAATGGGCAAATGAGAGCAATTTGTTTCAACGGCGTGAAGGTGGTTGAAGCAGGCACTGTGGAGTACTTAGAGTTTGGGAAGACGCTGAATCTTGGCCCATCACCTTCATCTTGACTTTTGTCTCACCACTGGACTTTGATGACTCTGGAAGAGAGTGAGGCTGCCAACTTTGTGCGCCTCTGTCTAACTTAAATCCAATTCACTCCAGTCAAGACACCACCCTGTGATATCGTTGGTCCTTTTTGAAAACAAAGGATGAACAAAAACAACAACAACAACAACAACAACTACTACTACTACTACTACTACTACTACTTACTATTACATACTACTACATATTCTCCTTCCTCCTCCTCCTCTTATACCATGCATTATTAACTGAGGGCAGGGACCATTGCATTTCTTTCTTTTGTCTCCTGTGCTTAACATAATGTTGGGTTCATAGTAGGTGCTTACTGTTTGTTGATAGGTGATAGATACATCC